GGCTCTGGGCGGCGGGGCGGGCGCGGCGCTCCTCTGGCGGTAGGGTGGCGGTTGAAGTCGCACGGTGCCCTGCAAGTTCCCTCCAGGTAGGGCTCGCAGCACTGAATACCGTTCTGGGGGGTCCTCTGGGTCTGCGTGTAGGTCTCACCCGCTGCGGGCTGGTTCTTTGCTGTAGTTTGTAGTCAGTCTGTCCCCCGTGCAGGCTGCGCCTTCTCGGTGTACTGGAGCCCACGCTGAGCACACGCGTCCTGTGAATTGTGCCAACCTGCGTGTTACTTTTTCTTTACGGTCCCTATCCTGACGGCTGATGTGATGAGATGAAAAATTTGAAAGGGTTTAGACTAACTTTGCTTCTCACCGGAAGAAATCTTTCTTAGGCTCCGCAAATGCTAGGAATCAAATCCTTGTAGTGTGAGCTACTCTGATCTGCCTCCTGTGATCTTGGAGGCAAAACTGGTTGATCCTTTTTGCTAAGCCATGTTTTGCTTTTCCCTCTTCTGTTGTATCCGCTTTCCCCCAGGACTCTCCTTCCTATATGGAGGAAGGATGTAGTCAGTGACACAGCTGGGGACAGTCCCACCCATCCTGTACCAGTCCAAACCCCCTCTGCTCCATCTGTTGGAGGCAATCTACAGAGGTGTCCCACCTCCGAGATGAAGTTAAACTTCTGTGGAAAGCCTGAAGATAACAGCCTTTACTGTAACTTGTGTGATGCAATGGATTGCTATGCCACTGTGTAGGCTCCCCCCACCCCTGTAAGGGTCTGGTTTGATGATGCTAGGGGTGGTAGGAGGAGGGTTTGAATTAATTTAGTTTAAGCACACCAGATATGATAGCGTCTTGTTTGGGGAGTGGTTGGCCTACCTGCAATCAGTGTACATCCAGGATTGAAGTACCTTTAAAGTCCCTTTGTACCACTTAATGATATAACTTTAATGTTTTCAAAATAACTAGATATTTCTAAACATAAAACATGGCTACATCACTTGTCCTGTGTGAAATCATGCTATAAACAAAATAACCATGTCTGGTTCAGGGAGCTTCTAAGTTGTAGATTGCTGGAGGCTAGAAGGAGTATGTGTTTTAAATGTAAGAGGCAGAATGTAATTCTCTTGACAGCACACATGTAACAAGAGTAAGAACAGGACAAGCAGGCAACATAGATATAATCTCATATTTTTTAAATATGAACATAAACCAACTCATAATAGCAGTTCTGTGTGTTATCATTTCTGGAAAAATACTCTGATGCAGTAATCGGAAAATAAACTTGAGGATTTTGATACAAATATTTTGCTTACTTTGCTCTTGAGCTTTCCTTCTTAACTTTTCTTCTAGACATCAAAAAAGTCCTAATTTTTAGGAAAAACTTTGTCAGGATTCCTCAAGCTGCTCTTTGACACTTCAGAGACAATATAAGATGCTTCAGCTAGTCTCTGGACCACATTTGTTAAATGCTTTCTCCATTGCTTTAAGACAGCTTATTTATTCTTTACGTATGTCCAGAAAAGGAGACTTTGTAGTCTTATTGTTTTGATGCAGGATAGTGGACTGGTTTAGGACTCTGGGAGCAGTAAAACTTAAGATGACTGTCACATTTTCGATTTACTGGAATGGGAGAATCCTGTCCTTTCACTTTCAGGACCACTCTAGTAAACTGGATTTTCTGCTGACAGTTCAGTTTTCTTGTTACGCTGTTAGAATTTTTGTTCATGAAATGATTAGGCTTAGCATGAAATAAAATATTAATTAAAAACAAACACTCCAAACCACACAAAAAGCCAAACAACCCCAAAGCAACTCTAACTTCTGTGTAGAAGCACGGTTAAGTGTTGTCCAGTGATATTGGCTTACTGTTCTGGCTACATCATATCTTTATATTAGCTCTACATGCTTAAAATAGACTATTTTCTTTTCCCAGGGTGTTCAGGATGAAAATTCCCCTTGGTTATCCTCAACTGTGTGTAAATTTGACTCAGATTTAAAAAAAAAATTTTTTTTTTTTAGCTGTCTAAATATTCTAATATTTTTGGCTTATCTCTGGTAGTGGCAGGGAACACCATCTGCCACTGTGGTAGATGGAATGATGCATGTTGTGGTATGGCAAGCAGGAGTGACTGCTCACCAGTGGGCTCTATGTTAACACCTGAGACTTTTGCCTTGAGAGCAGGTGATGGGTCCATAATCTAAGGCAAATAGGAGGTTGAGGATTGCTATGGCAAGCAGTAGACAAGAGCATGTATCATGAGAGAGATGTTTGTCCGTTGCTTGTCACTCCAGTAGCCCACAGTGACCATGTCTGAAAAAGGGGCTGGGGTGAGACCATTACTGACATCCCCTCCCCTCATCCCTGTATGCACGGGAACAAAGGGTTGGCATTTCTGATCTTCTCAAAGCTCTGGTTTAGGGGAATATCTTCTAGATGAGAGAAGGTCTGCTGATGCTGTTCAGGCAAGGACCATAGTCACTGTTCTGCTAGAGGCTCTTTAATCATTAGCTGATCAGGATGTTCTTTTTTCCTTGTTGTTTTAATCACCAATCTGCAGAAGATAGAAGAAAGCAGCCACTTTCTCCTTCTCTCTTGGGCAATCTCCTTAGTTTTACAGACCATGGCTGCATCATGGCCTTGGAACAAAATAACTCCTGTAGCTCTTTTTGAGGAACACAGGGCTGCCACCTCTTAACAGTAGAGATCAGGAACTTTGCAGAACTTGAGATTCATCTTTAGCTCTCTACTAATTATAGCCCTTTTCCTTGCTTTTCCTAACCCTGTCCAATGCTGTTCTACCTTTACTTGTTTGCAACAGGCCTCTAGAGAAGTAAAAATGTATACAGTAAGCCCTCAGAAAAATACAAAAAATATTTTGCCTCTGTAGCTGGGGGAACCTATAATTGTCCTCATTCTTTGTTTGCTGTCTTGCATGAATCCCCTTGTGTAGCTTAGCTTATGACAGAAGAGAAATTTAGCTCATCCCCTTGTTTGTCTGCCTCCCTAGTGTATGACTGATGCTATTCTCACTGTGTTGGGGTCACTACTACAATAACCTAATTTGTGAGGCTGGGAGGGGGAATACTGGAAGGCCTAAGAGGAAGAGAGTCCTAGAGCTCTCCTCAGTTCCCTTTCTACTAACTCCCTGCCCTCCCCTGCAGCGCTTATGATTGCAGCCTTCTAGACAAGATGTTTTGATGGGCATGGGAGGGGTTACTACATTGTTCTAAGGACATCCCACTATTCTCACCCACAGAAAGAGGTAGGGGGGAAAAAAAAAGGTAAGATCCCTGGGAGTCTCACCCACTGACAGCAATTGCCCTTGTGAGAAAAGCAGTTTCTACAAGGGGTACCCTCTTCACCTATGTCTTTTGCAGCTCTGTGGGTGTGATTGCAGGTGGCTGCAATCTCGTATGTCACAGCCATCAGAACTTTCACTGTGGTCTCACCTGGTCTCCACTTACCTGCCAGTACTGCAGCTACTGTGCCTTTCATGTGCACTGTGTGTAGTAACCAGAGCTACTGTTGTGACCAGGGTATGTAGGTCTGGTGTTGCCTAGTTGGCATCTGCAAAATACATGTTTAGATGCTCCTGTGGATGGTGGGTCACTCAAGAGTTGTAGCCCCCAAGACATGGGGTTAAATGGTCTTCTGGCACTATAGACATCATCTGGGAGGTGATATGCAACACACATCTTCATTGTTCTTGAGAATTTGACTGATGGTCTTGGCAAGTCTGAGGCAAGGCTTACTGGCAGTCCACAACTGGTTGAATAAGAACATATTGAGCCACACCTGGTGGGAATACACTTATGTTTTGCACGGTAATGAGATTAATGGTTGTCGTGGTTTAACCATGTGAGCAGCCGCTCACTCACTCCACCCCCCACAGTGGGATGGGCGAGAAAATTGGGGAAAAAAATTGGGTTGAGATAAGGACAGTTGAATACTACAGAAAGGAAGAAACTAATAATGATAATAATAACAATAATAAAATGACAATAATAATAATAAAAGGATTGGAATATACAAGTGATGCACAATGCAGTTGCTCACCACCCACTGACCAATGCCCAGTTAGTCCCTGAGCGGTGATCCCCCTATCCCCACTCCCCCCAGTTTATATACTAGGTGTGACATCACATGGTATGGAATACCTGTTGGCCACTTTGGGTCAGCTGCCCTGGCTGTGTGCCCTCCCAACTTCTTGTGCCCCTCCAGCCTTCTTGCTGGCTGGGCATGAGAAGCTGAAAAATCCTTGACTTTAGACTAAACATTACTCAGCAACAACTGAAAGCATCAGTGTGTTATCAACATTCTTATAGTACTGAACCCAAAACATAACACTGTACCAGCTACTAGGAAGGCAATTGACTATCCCAGCCGAAGCCAGGACAATGTTTCATCATCAAATTTGTCTGGATTCACTTGTGGTTGGACAGGCATGCTTCTTGCCTAGCGTGTAGGTTAATTGCCTTCTTGGCATGTTCCCTGTGTCTTCATTGAGTGACGTCCTGCAGCTTTTCTCAAGTGATTGCTGTGGGAGGGTCTGTGTTCATGTGTCTATCCTTGAACTGCTGCACAGGGGGCTTTGTTGACAGGTTGTTAGGTTAAAGAGCATCCAGCAGTCCTGCCTGCCTTTCAGACTGTGGTATGGAAACATCTCTGTTTTATTGTTCTCCACATGCTCCCTTTCCTTGTCCCCTGTGTTGCCCAATTACAAACATGCAGGCTCTTTTGCCAGCTAAAGAGGAAAAAAAGT